TCTAGTCGACAAGACAACAACAGAATGAAATTATTTTTTGGCTTTGGCCATTTTTCATCAAATTTTAGCTCCGTGTAAAATTTCAAGTCGATGTGTGAACATTTGTGAAGCGAAATTTTTTAGATTTTGTATGAAATCCAATGCCCTGATGGACGAACGAGTTCTGAAGAAAATTTTGCGGGAAAAAGGTTTGCGGCGGGTCATGTTGCTTTAGTAAATTGGACATGCGGAATTAAAAAAAAACATGAATTTTGAGCAAAAATATTGACGGAAGCATATGTTTTGGATGACTTTTTTGAAAATCGATGGGCGAAAAAAGATTTCGTTGCAACTTTTTTTCCTAAAAAATCAAAAGTGCATTTTTGTGATGGGCTATCTACAACAATACTAAAACCAATTCACTTTCATACAAATTTATTGAAAAAAATTCATTTGAAAAATGTCGAACTTCAAATCGACCCCGCCAAAATTGAGCCTTAGGTAGGCCGGGGCTAAAAATATATACAATACAACAATATATATATTTTTAGCCCTGAAGAAGATCACAACAACGATCGAAAGCTCGGATTTTCAATAAAAAACGTAGTTGAATAAACCAATAACTGACTGGATGGTCTGTTCTCATTTTAATAATCACGAAACAGTCGATAGGAACCAGATGATCAGATATATACTTTGCGTGTTGCGCGAAATGCCATAACATTTATACATTCTTATTTGACTAGGTGAATAGGTGATGCCATATTTTATGAATAATTGAATTCTTCGGAAATTATAATGATCGTTTTTATTTACCTTATATTTAATTTATTTATGGTATAAATATGTAACTTTCTTTTGAATATGGAAATTTGAATCTCAATAAAATGTATGATGAATCATTGAGATAACACTTGGAGACTCTAGATAAGAGTTCAAAACTTCATAATTCTCTTTGCTCTTTTGCTATACTACATAAATATTTCACCTCTGATCGTGCTGAGTGTTGTGACGATATAAATAGTAATTGAATGTCAACTATTTTAGATAGTGTGATTTATGAAACCACAGAATGAGTTTTATTTCATCTTAATTACTGAATATTCTGTGAACATGGCATTACTGTTTTATAAAATACATCGAATATGTACATTGTACACATCAGTATGGAATATTACATGATATTGTTATTCAATACTTTCAATCATTTTAATTTAACGTTTGATTTCATGAAACAACAAACGTGAGCAGTGATAAGAAATTTGTTTGGTTCGTTTCCTGGTACCTTATTTTTTAAGTGTGCGACCTGTGACACATAAAACGAAGTAAGTTCAACTTATTTAAGTTTCAAATAAAAATATGAAATCAAAAAGCCAAATAGTAGTGGTAGTAGTAAAATAGAAATGTGAGCAGAATGATGATAGCATAATCTCACTTTTTTACAGCTAGTCAAAAGAATGTTTCACATTTTGGAAGTAAGCACATCGCAACACCTAGGGGCTAGTCGCGCTTTTGAATTTTGCAGATATGAAAAGATTTTCACAAATCCAAATTTTAACACTATTCAAAACAAATAGAATTAAAATAAGCGTTAAATATCCAAATATTTCTGTACTACTATACTGGTGGTATTTAAACACAAAATTATGATTGTGACAAACCTTGTCAGAAACTGCAATTAGTACTCGGAATTAAGACTGATATGACTGAATCATTAAAGAATCTTTTATTATTTAACGAGAGTCGAGCGCTATCCATATAAATACATTGTGACGTCACACATCTTACACAGAAACGACATCTTTGTAAAAATGGCTAACTACAATGTAAAAGTATAGTGAGAGGAGAAGGGAGTAAATAAAAAGGGGAAACAGATACGTTTGATTTACATTGTAGTTAGTCGGTTATTAATAGATGGCGTTTATATAATGTGCCCTTATTGCGCTTGACTCTCGTTATTTAATTATTAATAAAGATATTGTCAGATATTTACTGTGACAAAAAAAATGTGATAAGCCCCTAACGCAACAATCAAAAGTCTTTATCAAAATGTAAGTCAAATTTCATGTCAAATCCCGTCCAAAATAAAATGTCTTACATCCGTAAGATGAACTTTTCCGCACTGTGATCCACAACACGTATATTTTACCGTAAATATGAATTCATGAGAAAATTGAATCTGATATAAGTTTTGCGATACAAATAATTTTTGATAGACTTTTCAATGCCAGACGAGAGTGGGCAGTTGATATGTCTGGTTTTGCCGTTTCGCTAGAGTATTTGAAAAAAAGTCCAAACGCAACGATGCCATTCAGGGCTGGTCATGAAGAAGATAGATTCTTGAAAAGTATTGGATTGAAAATAGAGGAAATTGAACCGCACGCAAAAAATTGCACCGAAATTTTCGTTGAATTTCATTTGATTTCCTTCTTCAATCATTTTTACAATAGGTGTACCAGCATACTTGGCGAAAAATGGAGAATTAGAGGATCTTACCTATAAAACTATCTCATAAATACAAACGATTAGACCATGATTCCAATATATAAACACTTATTCCACCAATCCGTCATTTCATTGTCAAAGATAATGTCACATTTTGCCGCTATTCACTTGGTTGAATACTAAAGTTATTTATCAACACTGGAGTATGACATTTTGTTATTGGTAGTATTCAGACAATATATTGAACTAACTAGTTATAGTAATAATGAACAATCACTTCTATTAAAACGAGAAAAGTGATTCATCATTAAAACAATAACGTCTATTGTTTTAGCCCATTTAGCTGGCTAACGCACTGTCAGCTCAACTGACCAGTTAGTTCAATATATTGTTTGGTAGTATTTAAACTCAAAATCAGTTTATTACTGCGATTAGTACTAGGAATTAATATTGAT